TGCCACCTGCCGTTATGGGTCCTCCTCTGCCTCCCCGACAGTGGGAACCTACGTTCCGGTCTCCAGCCCAATGAATTCAGTGTCCTCATTCATTTATTCCTTCAAGAAACACTGGCCAAATACCACCTTCGTGGAAGCTTCTGCTAAGTGGGGGAGATGGACACTAATCTAATCATTACACCAGGAAGCACATCATTATCAATACAACTAAGGCTGTGAAAGAAAGTAAGAGCATGTTCTTATTTGGGTTGGAAATTCAGGGATGACTTCTCTAAAGAAGAGGCATTTAGGAGACACCCAACGAATGATTGGGGTTGGCCTACCAGGGCAGAGCGGGTCTTCCAAGCAGAGGGAACACAGCATGTGCAGGCCTAGAGGGCTGAAAACCATAGAAGGCTCAAGGAAGGGGGAGGAGGATGAAGAAGGAGGAATAAAGTTGGTCAACCACCGTATGAACTTGGCTTTTTGCTTCTCGGCACCCCGGCCTACTGTCCCTCCTCTGCTCCCCTACCCGATCCCCTCACAATCCTCCCCTCACAATCTCTGGGTTCCTTCCTGGCTCCATCATCCCCACTATGCACTCCAATTGGGGCTGCCTCCATCATTCACCACCAATGAGCTGCCCACTTGCCCCTGAATCATTTTGTACCAACCTTGTCCTTTTTCCCAGACCCTCCTAGAATCCTAGAATTTCAGAGCTGAGAGGTCCTTAAAGGTCACTTAATTTCAACCATCTATCACTGTTTTCCTTAGGAGAAATAGCTTGCCTACATCACAGGGGCAGGAAGTAACGAGGAAAATTCACTCTCCTGTGCACATTTGTGCAGTGACTCCAAATCAAGGGCACGGGTGTCATGATACAAACTACAGCAAGATCAAGCAAATGACAGGAAGAGTCTCACATTACTTGGTTACAATGACTCAGGTAAATAGAGCAAATAGTTTCACTTCCATGCTCCAGATGGGGAAAGTGAGGCTCAGAAAGGTGACAAGGCTAGGGGTTCCCTATCCCAGCTTTATCAGATCATATCTGGGATTACTTTTTGTTGCCATACTTGGGATTTTTCTTCTAAGAGCCGAGGACCCACCACTTGGTCAGGTTGGCTCATTGTGTACAAGCAAGAGAGAGACCCACTGTAGCTCACTCAAGTACAAGAGCATTATTGTAAGGACATACATAGTGAAGGGGACAGCCACTCTCAGAAATCCAAACACGAGAGGTGTGAGAGGGATGGGATTCTTGAACCAGATGGCATTCTGGATTCAAGGATGATCTAGGAGTTTATGACCCTTCACCTGTAACAATGGCCACAGATCCTTATCCTACCTACAGAGGGGAAGTCTAATTCCCTTCTTCTTGAATCTGTATTAGTCTTAGTGGCTTCTTTGGCCAGTAGAATATGACATTGTGAGATGAAGATGTCTTGAAGCTTCAGCCAAGACCCCTTAGGACATTCTCTCTGGGAGCACTGAACTACCACATAGGATGTCCAACTCCCCTGAGACCAACATGCTGGGGAGACCACATGAAGGGCTCCAGTTGACTGTCCCAGTAGAGCTCAGGCTTCCAGCCATCCCCCTGTCCCCTCAAAGCACTAGCTATGGGAGTAGAGCTGCCTTGGACCATTCAGAACGGACCTTCCACTAGCTGAATACCTTTGCCAACGCCACAAGAAACAGAAGACTCATCGAGC